CCGCTTACCTCTTCCCTTTTCTTAAGCACAAAAGGCCAAAGCTTCTGCTCCCCAGCCCCCACCGAGGAGCGCAGGAGGAACAGGAACAGATAAAGTAAATTTATGAGATCTTTAGATATGTACAAACGAAGGAGAACTTGTGGAAGACCCAATTAATCAAACTCTAGCGCCCAAAGAGAAACGCTTTAAGACTTGATCTACATCCTCAGTAAGACCCGTATCTTCTCCGTTTGTGCTGAAGAGAACCTCTACGCCTCTGCTAAGAGCTGTCAGCGTCCCTTCTGCTCGTACTGAAGTCAGGCTTCAGGTTTGTTGCTGAAACTATGGCTCGTACAGCCCTGCTGCTTCCAGCCTTATGGAGCTGCCAGACCCTGGCATTTACCCTCCACACTCACAGACCCCTCGGACTTTTCTGAATTTAGATTTGCTGCACCGCAGCGATTACTCAGCACTAGCACCACATTAAAAAAGCAGACAGGGGTGGATGTGTCTGCAGACAGAGAGGATTACGTTTTGCTTATATTACCTTTTTAAGAGCATCCTTAGCTCCCAGCAAGCAGGCACCATTTAAACCAAGGTTTAAATTAAACCAACCCAGCAGGGCATTAAAGCAGCCACGTTCAGTGTGAGTCTTTTGGAAAGTAACCTGCAAGTTACTGCCTTTGGCCAGTGGCTTGGTTTGTGCCTTTGAGTGAACAGAGGCCTAGGTGTCTTTTGACCTTCCAGAAAGAGAAGAGTCCTTTAATGCTCTTATAATGGACTATAGGGATCTCTTATTGCCCTCTTGCAGACAGTACTTGTCCCAGAGGAATCCCAGAGGAATCCACATAGTGCAAGGGACACAGGTGGTTTGATTTATATGGAACAGGCTTTCAGATGCTATGGCAAAGGAATAAACAAGAAATACGTGGACTTCCAAGCAGATGATAGATGAGCAGCCCTTAAAATTACAAAAACAGTATTCAGAATCCATGGCAGAAGTCTGAAGCCAGTGCCACAAACACCCAGAACATTTTGAAGCCTTGGGCAAGGAAGAATGGGGTCTAAGTGGAAAACCCTGGTTGTGTGGTGCTCTCCAAGCTGAAGGGAAGAGCTCAATAGCTGCAGTTGCCACTCGTGGCAGGAACACTGTGTGTGGTTGAACTTCAGAGGACACAAAATGAAAACGGTGGAAGCAGAAAGTCAGTGACCCAGAGCACCAGCCATGGGTGGAGCCCCTGTGCTGGATTAAGACCTGTACCAGTGGGGTTGTTGGGAAAAGGCTCATCTATTCCACCATCACGTACTGGCAAGACAGGAACATTGCACAGAACAGCAAGAACTGCCTCTCTGGTTATGTGCCTTTGAGTCAGAGCTTGAAAACTGATCACACAAATCAGCAGGTTTTACTGGCAAGCACAAGGCATCTATTTCTGAAGAGCTCAGGGTTGGTGTTTAGTGGACACTGAGGCCTCAAGCCTTCAACAGTCAGTTCTAGCAATACTTCAAAGACAAAGCTTGCCAGACAGCATCATAGAGCTACCCCGACATGTCAGTTTTACTGGTCCTGTTGAATATACTGAGCGTGGCACTGGAAATCAGGAGCTGAATTGCCGGGAGGGTTATTTCCAGGAGTGCAGAGCTGAAGGAAAGTAGTCTTAAAAGGGCCGGAGAAATGCACAAAACTGCCTAAACATATGAGTTGCAATAACCTGTCCTGTCTGCATCTCTCATCACTGCAGTGTCACACTGGTATAGAACAGGAAACAAAGCAGATGCTTTGCCTGGTATTTGGATGAGTAAACACAGCTGTGAGCTTGGCATGCAATGCTGAAAATCCCAACAGAAAGACACATGAAACACGGGGGGGCCCCTGTCAGCCAACACCATGGACCTTACAAAACTGCCAGTTCCCAAGACCTGTAGTGAGACTTCAGTCATCAAGTTCAGAGATTAGCTGCTAAATGTGGCCCCATCCCTCTACTGAATTTTCTCCCAGCAAACAGGTATGTATTTTTTTCTGAGCTGTGGCTTAAAGCCCAGAGTCTGAGATGTCCAAGTCCTACAGCCATGCAGCACTCCAGGGCTGTTTCTGTTTCTTGGTGAAAACGTAAATGAACAGTACAGCTGAGTAGGGCTGGGGGGGGCTTGTTTTATTTTAATTAGGCAAGGCACTCAAGCTCTTGGAGAGGAACCAAGGCAGCTCTTTGTGCAAAAGGACAGAATCACTGGCTGAAGAGATGGCCTTTCCACAACATTCGACCTGAGCATCAGCAGCGTACCCGTACACTGAATCACCAAAACGGATCCCAGACCCTGCGGTTAAGGCTTTGGTTCAAAGAATCACAGAGTACTCGAAAGAAAACTTTTCACAGTTGTGCAAAGCTTCTGTTGTGCTGGGTGAGCACACAGTGGAATTGAGATGGGCTGTGAAGCTCACAGACTCATCTGACACAACAGAAGATGTTAAGGAAGTAAAAATAAATAAGCAGTTAAAGTGACCTTTGCAAAAGATCGGGAAGAAGCAGATTAACTTTTATCAGATTATTTAGGTTTGTGTCATTTCACATGTGACACAGGAGTCTGAAACAAGCATTTGTTCTCAAAGGTAGGGAGACCTGAACAATCTTAACCTCAGATTTAAAGGATGAGGACAGTAAAGCCACGCTTTGCAAAGGGATTCAGTTTCCCAGGAAGAATTAGGTAGAAAAGAAATTAGTTGGACCAACAAGCTCAGCTAAAAGACAAGAAGTGTGTTTGAGAAAGTGAAAATTTATTCTCCTCTCTTTCCTTTAACTCATTATGAAATGGGTTATTACTCTCAAGCCAATCACAAGGCAAAAGAATTTTAACACAGACTCCCACAGTCCCATTTGTAGAGTCAATTATATTAAGACTAGTGTAGGACTTGAAGAACAGAAGATTTTTGGTGAGCATTTATATGTATTCCACTTTCTAAGAAATCTCTGTTTCCTCAGTAGGGCTGCTGTATAGGTTGAACACCAAACTCTGGAAGTTTTACAATCCACAGCAAAGTCATTAATTAAGAGTTCATTACCAGCTTCAATCAAAGGCACAAGACCAAAGCAACACAAGTCAGTAGGGCCTGGGCAGTCTCACTGAATTTATATTCTTTTTTTTTTTTCCCCCCCTTTTCTTTTTTTCCCTTTTCTTTCTTTTTTTTTCTTTTTTTTTTTTTTTTTTTTTAAATCTCCAGTCTCCAGTTTTAAGCCTTCAGCTTTTAGCCAAAGCTCATCTCCTCAGTAACACAAACTTGCTCCACAAACAAAAACACTGAAGGTGTTTCCTCCCACTTTTCAACAGCACTCTCCTTCTTTGCTGCTATGTCAAAGAAAACAAAAGTCTCAGGAACAAATCAGTTGTGGAGACAAAAGGCTACAGCTACTGGATTCCACTGCACACGTAACTGAGAAACTAATTCCCAGGGTTACTGGTGGCATGTGAACTGGAGGAACATTAACATTCTGCACAAACTTGTCATGTCTTGCAAATCCCAGGGTCCCTTTGATGACAGAAAAAGGTGCATTTAAATAATTTGTAAAATTTCTCCATTTCCATAAGCCATCATCAGTACATGGAATGATAGGTATTCTTTAAAAGACTTAAACAGTGGTCCCAAGGGTAACTTCTGACTCCAGCAAACAGAATTGATCAGCATAAAACAAACAGATGCATCTTACTTGACAAATCAAAGTTGACAAACACTATAAAACACAAAAACCCTTCAGCCACTGCAAAAATAACCATTACAGTCAGATTTAATTAGTTCCGTGCAGCAGCCCTAGATTTAGAGGGACTGTACCTCACTGCCACTACCACACGCCTGCCTACTTCCTGCAGCTCCCATTAACGGGACAATAATTAAAGGACATGTTGGTGAGAACAACTTCTTCAAGAAATATGAACAAGCACATTTCTGAGAACTTATATGTGAATACAGGACTGTGCAAGTAGCTACAAAACCAAAAGGAAAAGCACTATAGAAAGCTGATTTCCAAATTCATGGTTTAAAATCTATTTGCACATATAAAAATGTAAGACCCAGGGCTCCAATAAGATTCTTAAAAAACCTGGGACTGCTTTGTCTTCAAGCAACTGAACAGATTTCACTAATTCTGTTGGGCCCAGGAAATGTTGTAATACATTTAGACTGTCTGCTTTTGATACTATTAAGGAAAATATTTCTATCGAAAGTACTCCTAAGGAAAAAAAAAAAAAAAAGAAAATAAAATTTCTCCACAGTCCAAAAAATGATGAACAACATGAACTTTGCTGCACAGTTGTAAGCTTGTTTTGAGTCAACAAACACCTTACAATGCAATATCTGGACAGGAAGGGACGGAAGGAGGCTGACTTAAAATTATACTTAATGTGCTCACAAGCTTTCCCAGTGCCCAACCCCAGAAAGCAGCTTTCAGTCAGAATACCTGAGTCTAACTGATACAAATAACACATAAAATGCACGTGTAGTTTCACTTGTGTTTCACATTATCTCCTGCGTTCCTGCAGGTAAGTTAAAAAACTGCAATACCTCTACAAAATTATATACCACTTTGAGCCAAACCAGCAGCAAATTCTCTCCCATCGTTCGTTTCAGCTACAGCTTGAACAGATCGTTCAAAGTGCTTTATAAAACTAAGACACTACAACAGATGCTTTGCTGCCACTTCCTCCTTCTAGCGTGATGCAGCAGAGCTCGGTAGTTTGGAATGAGATCAGATTATCAGTAGCAATACTGACAGCTTTCCTTCTACCTGGGACAAGGTTACAGTTCTTTGTTTATTCCATTTACCACCTGAAACATTATGTCCTTGTGAAGGAACGGCGCCGTGACCAAGTGTTTCAGTGAATCCAGAATAAACCAGAAACCTGTAGGCTTCTTCCTTCTCTCCAGGGACAATCCTGTGCTGTAAAACAACTTGCTGCATTCCCAATATTTAATGAGCATTTAGTTAAGACTGACATAAGAGAGTTCTGGTTCACCAGAGCCCTGTGATGAATGTCATGGTCCACACTACAATTATTCTCTGAACCTCATCATCAATACCAGGAAAATCAGCTTAGTAGGGCACAGTTTGTCCATCCCAGAACCAGGGATTATATTTAAGACTGACATGACTTCTCCAAACCAGAGATGCTTTCCCAAAGGTTTTGTTTGTTTGTTTTAAGCAAAAAAAGGTGCAATATAGCATCTCTCCTCAAACCCTGAAAAGTAAAGTGACTTGAAGATAAAAATGCCACCATAGGAAGGTCTGACACCCGTCTATGCTGGCGCCCAGATAGGGAGTGGATGAGCTTCTGTGTTAAATACATATTTGTCAAGGTTGATTAAGTCTATGTCATCTGAAAACAGCAGAAACATGTATTTGAGTGTTTCTCCAAGGAAGAAGCTCTCCATCTTATCTCGTGGCTCTGGATTACTGGGATTCTGGACGTTGTTAATGGAAGTATAACCACCTGTAGGAACCTGTGCCAAAAAAAAAAAAAAAAAAAAAAAGCAGAAATTTCGTATATTTTGATGATCTAAAATAAATTTTCACTTCTTAACCTCCAGATGCACTTGAAGAAAATAAGGGCTAAGAAACAGATCAGCATGTTTTTCATTTCATACTTGTTTTTCATTTACATATAAAACTTCAATTAAGAAAAAAAATGTCTCATTGCATTTTAAAAGAAACTACAAGGATAAAAATGAAACAAAATGTCCATCTATGGTTAATCCAAAAATGCATCACAAAAAACATCCCATTGAAGTTTCTGGACAATGTACAGCAAGTAACTACTGCCAATTTCTACATTAGAGTTGGTCAAAGTACCACACCTATTCTGTTAAAAAAGGCCATGGATGTTTAACTACCAGTGGCATCGAGGCCACACTCTTCCAGTGTATCAGAGTGATATCTCCATAAGCACTGCAGTCAGAATGAACACAAAAACCCCTCTATTAAAGCATCAATGCAATTTTGTGGGGTTTTGGTTTTATTTTGTTTTTGTTTCCTTCTACTTCAACCAAAGGGTTCTTTCAATCCAGCCAGGTCCTTCTCAACTTCTAAATTCTAAAAAGATTGCAGTGGAGATTCTAACAGCTTCCAGGAAGACGTAGAGACACTTTGGTAGTCTGTGTACAGCTTCTGCATTTTACTTTTTAATCTGTGTAATACAAGTTCTTTACCTGAATGTACTAAGTAGTGCATCTCAAACTGCAAGGCACTGTATGAACTGAATTTTTCTGTGTGTTCTTATGAATTCCCACACAGGTATTTGATGACTCTTGAAAGACAGTAGGTTTCCAAAGTTATTGTTAGAGAGCAAGTGAGCGAATACAGTCCTGACAGAACAAGGTCATTATAAGCTGACCTTACCCGTGTGTATTTATTGAAGTTCTGCAAGATTTCCCAGCCCCAGTCTTGATATTTCTTATCACCAGTGAATCTGTACATATAAAAAAGGCTTTCCACAGTTTCTGGTCGCAGTAAGTTGTGCCTGTCTGCAGGCTGCAAGAGAAAAAAAAAAAAAGGCAAGAATAATTCATCAGAGAGGGAATTTCCTAAAGGACACATGCAGGAAGAAAAATAGCGATTCCCATATTCATCTACCCCAGAGTTTATTATGCATAATTCAGCTTCTAAATACACTATGGGGTTCTTAAAAACAAAGGCTAGGGTACACCTAGAAAGTGAGGCAGAAGAACAAGCTGCTCCACAACGGAGCACATCACCAATATCCAGATGGGAGTTTCAACACCAGAACAGAGATACAGAAGAATCACCGAATTACAGTTCAGGCCAGCTATCTGTTCACCTTGATCTCCACATCTTTGTGGCCCTTTTGTGCATGAAGATTGAAGTGTACGATCTCCGGACTTAGGCCCGTCTCTACTTGAGCATACATCTGGTAACAGGTTTCTATAAGGGCTTCAGCCAGTTTCATATGATCAGCAGTCAATCCATTGTGAGCTCCCAGTGCCAAAGTACCAGGCAAAAAGCAAACCAAGTGATCCTGCAAGACAAGACAACTCTTACTGGGCAAGTTACATAACAGACAGTATTTGTGTGTGTCTCTCTCTCTGTGTCCCTATGTGTCTCTCCCCCCCCCCTTCAAAACACATTTCAGGTAGCAAGAACTTGGGGGTAACTCTTGACCAATTTTACGTAATGTAGTATGAGGCACACAGCATTATTTCAAAGATCTCACTAATCTGGAAAATGTACAAGATTCTGTGTTTTTATGTCCAGTTTCTGAAAGAAAGGTCTAAGGTCAGGGCAAGGGGGGAGAGAGTGTCTTTTGGTTTACCAGAAGTATACATTTCATACTCATGAAGGGGGGTGGGAAGAATCACCTGAAGGTTTTGCAATAGAAACAACTAAAGGGACAACATAGGGGACAAACTGATGACCTGAATTAAATTTAAACTTAAAAAGGAACATAGATGGGAGTCAGGCACAGAAAACAAAGCTCTGGAGAAGGGGGAAAGGTCAGCTGAAGGAGATTTTCATCATTCTGAAATAATCACCTTAGCATTATTGTGAGAGAAACAACATCTGCAGAGATCATTAGATCCACTGTACAACTGGAAAACACTGATCAGCTTTCAAGCATATTTCTTCCTGACAGCTTGCCCCTTTCTTGCACCTTTGTTATTTGGGGTAATAAAAAGCTATTACCCCTCAGGTCTATAGAGCACCAAAGATGCAAGATCACCATTTTTCTAGAGAATCTGGGATACAGCTGGCTCCCATTCCCACTACTAGCTCTCCTACACTTACTCTTTTGTTTACAGCTAGATGAGCACCACAGATACCAGGCACCTTGAACAAAACATCTTTGGCTCTTGGCATGTGTATGGAAGAGGGGCACCTGAGGATGATCCTGTGAAGAGCGTTCCTGCCTGCTTTCCCAAAAGAAAGCAGCAGCAATGAAAGGCCTGCAGGGACATTTATTTCTTAGCTTTTAGTTGCTAGAGCAAACAGTTTGTTCAAAGGACAAGAACTGTACAGCATTTGTAAACAATCAAGATTAATTTACTTAACTTTCCAAGAAAGCTCAAATGTCAGTCAGTTCAAGAACATATCAGAAAACAGATTGTATAAAATGCCCAAAACTCATCTCCAGCAAAATTCAATTTGCAATACAAGACTGATTGTCCTCCTTCAGGGGCTAATCCACCACTGACATTGTCAACGCAAGAATTACAGATTAATGTCACATGTGGAATTTCAAATGATTGTTACCATTCAGAATGAAAGCTCAGGTCTCATCACCCAAAAACACAGTAAAAACACTCTGGTGCACAAGCAGCACTGCTATGGACCTTTAAAAACTTTGTCCATCTTAAAATAAATGGTTGAGGGTGATGAAGATCAACATCAACACAGGAGACGACCATACCCAGGTGCCCAGGGTAAGATATCAAACCTTTCTACCCAATAATTGATTAAATACCAAAACTCTGACTTCCTGGAACAGAAGCAAGTGTACTGACATACGCAGAGACCTAAGCCCAATCTATCTCTTTGAATTCAATTCTGTCATATCTTGGGATAAGGGAGCCCCCTCTCCCCAAAAGCCAGAATCTGGTCTCGCTCACAGCGGCTTTGGAGGGTCTTTGGGAAATTCAGATGCAAGAAGCACATGCTGAAAAACAGAACTAAAAATCTCAAAAAACATTATAACAAGAAACCAAACAAGTCAAAGAATTCACTAAAACTCACGTCAAGTATTGAAAAAGTATACCTAAGACTACACATACACTAATAATGCACCACTGATCTAAAAAAAAAAAGCCACACACATATACTATACTTGCACTTGCATGAGATCTTTAACTGAAAGATCTTAAAATGCATTTTTAAAAGTATGGATGCA